GCCATGGATGAGTGAGCCGCGGTTAAGGAGGTGTACAGAGGAGTAACGTTACTAAGAGACCATCACTATGTTCTGCGGTCGGTGTGGGAGTCAGCAGCTGTGTTCCAAATATACTTGTTTATCAATATCCGTACCCGATACACTGTGGTCCCCCACTATCTCTTCAACTCTCTGGTTAACACAATCATACAGACAAGATACGGGTTCTGATAAATAACCCAACCTAACCCGGATGACCGTATAAACATCCACCAACAGATTCTCTCACTCAACAATGCCTCTCGAGGTTAATGCTGTTATTTTTATTTCCTCCATTACTTCTGTCAACACGTTTGAGGGAGCAATCAGAGACAAGATCTTCATCCAGGATGTCAACAATGTGAATATTGTGCGGGAGACAAATATTGAAGGAGGCGTGTGTGTGTGTGTGTGTGTGTGTGTGTGTGTGTGTGTGTGTGTGTGTGTGTGTGTACGTGTGCGTGTGTGTGTGTGTGTGTGTGTGTGTGTGTGTGTGTGTGTACGTGTGTGTGTGTGTGTGTGTGTGTGCGTGCGTGTGTGTGTGTGTGTGTGTGTGTGTGTGTGTGTGTGTGTGTACGTGTGCGTGTGTGTGTGTGTGTGTGCGTGTGTGTGTGTGTGTGTGTGTGTGTGTGTGTGTGTGTGTGTGTGTGTGTGTGTGTGTGTGTGTGTGTGTGCGTGCGTGCGCGTGTGTTCACGAGTCTGAATCTCTCGGGGGATCGTGGTTCGTGGGGGTGGTGGACTAACTTTAGCTCATGTTTATAACGCTCACCATTGCTCTCTGCTGAGATAAAACTTTAAAATTAATATAAGTTGTAATAATGTGTTAAAGTTACGAAATTACATAAGTAAATCAAGCGAGACCGCGGGGGTTACGTACTTAATCTTTATATAACATAAGAGAAGCGTCCTACAACAAGATGAACATTGAGCCTTACAGTCAGAGTCTTCCAGCAGCACCGCCCCTGTCCCCTTCCCCACGTAATATATTATATCAGGAGACTTTTGGACGGCTGGATGAACTCGGCCAACTAATTCACTGTTCCGTTTGAGAAGCTCATGGAGGCTGACACTCCCGAGGGTGGCAGCTTAACTCTCAGTAATATGATACACAAGTTTGCCATGATACGTGCTGGGTTCACTCTAATGTGTGGGAGCTGAGACGAGGCGCTTGTGGCCAGACATTTACTGGACTGAGAAAGTGGGGAGCTGAGACGAGGCGCTTGTGGCCAAACCTTTACTGGACTGAGAAAGTGGGGAGCTGAGACCAGGCGCTTGTGGCCAAACATTTACTGGACTGAGAAAGTGGGGAGCTGAGACGAGGCGCTTGTGGCCAAACATTTACTGGACTGAGAAAGTGGGACCAGGCGCGGTTTACTGGACTGAGACCAGGCGCTTGTGGCCAAACATTTACTGGACTGAGAAGGGGAGCTGAGACCAGGCGCTTGTGGCCAAACCTTACTGGACTGAGAAAGTGGGAGCTGAGACCAGGCGCTTGTGGGCCAAACATTTACTGGACTGGAAAGTGGGGAGCTGAGACCAGGCAGCAGGCCAAACATTTGGACTGAAGGTGGGAGCTGAGACCAGGCGCTTGTGGCAAACCTTACTGACTGAGAAGGGAGCTGAGACCAGGCGCTTGGCTGCATTTACTGGACTGAGAAAGGGGAGCTGAGACCAGGCGCTTGTGTAAACATTTACTGGACTGAGAAAGTGGGAGCTGAGACCAGGCGCTTGTGAAACCTTGCACTGGACTGAAAGTGGGAGCTGAGACCAGGCGCTTACTGGACTGAGAAAGTGGGAGCTCAGGGCGCTTGTGGCTTACTGACTTGGGGGCTGGACCAGGCGCTTGTGGCTCAGGCACTGACTGGACTGAGAGTGGGAGCTGAGACCAGGCGCTTGTGGCCAAACATTTACTGGACTGAGAAAGTGGGGAGCTAGGCGCTTTGTGGAAACATTTGCTGGACTGAAAGTGGGGAGCTGAGACCAGGCGCTTGTGAAACATTTACTGGACTGAGAAAGTGGGGCTGAGAGGCGCTTGTGGCCAGACCTTTACTGGCTGAGAAAGTGGGAGCTGAGACCAGGCGCTTGTGGCCAAACATTTACTGGACTGAGAAAGTGGGGAGCTGAGACCAGGCGCTTGTGGCCAAACCTTTACTGGACTGAGAAAGTGGGAGCTGAGACCAGGCGCTTGTGGCCAAACATTTACTGGACTGAGAAAGTAAGATAAATAATAAAATTGTACTGTCATGAAGGGGGAGATGACAGACACAGTAGTAGTGTTGCAGTCATCATTCATAAGTTATCAAGACACCTGTTTACAAGACCTAATAAGTATATAAACTCTACAATGCTCAGGTATTTATCCCAATACGTCATTACTCCCATGAAAAGACAAAAGACTTCTTCACTAATTATATGATTATACACGAAAAAAATAAGTTCTTTCACCCTTTGATGACGATGATTTAACCCTTTGATGGCAATATTTTAACCCATTGACGACGATGATTTAATCCTTTAATTACAATGATTACGATTATTTAACCCTTCAGATACCAAAGGGTTAAACACCATTATCCGTGACTCCATCGAAAAAAAATATTAAAGGAAAAAAATCGTCAGCGTTACTGAAACCGGAATTGAAGGAAATAAATACCAAGGCAAAAAATAATAACAACAGTGAACAAGAATTTCTTAATCACGAATTCCTTCCTTCAAGACGGAACCATATAGGAAATGGACTTGGGAAAAGATCCCAGGGGAACTTGGAAATAAAATTGACTTTATTTAATCCAAGAAAAGTCGCATTTCTCATGTTTCATCGGCCCTCACCTGTGGGTCAATACTGAGGCAGAGATCACCAGATTGGTCCAAGATAAAGTATCACTGAAGACTACAGCTGAGCATAAGAACTGCCAGCTGAGTTTGTCTGGAGAATAAAAGCTTCACGCTTTCCGATGAACTTTGGGATAGATTAAGGACAAGGCGATATGTTATTAGATTTTAATTCACTTATAATAATAATAATAATAATAATAATAATAATAATAATAATAATAATAATAATAATAATAATAATAATAATAATAATAATAATAATAATAATAATAATAATAATAATAATAATAATAATAATAATAATAATAATACCTGACGTCTAAGTATTGAGTCACAGTTTTATAAGACTACATAAAAGAATTTCAACTCATAAAAAATGCAAAAGTTTGTCAGCATGAAGTGAAACATTTTAAAGCGAGCAGCGCGGCGCCTCCACCACCAAGTAACACATGGTAAAAAAATTTAATAAGACTCTCTCTCTCTCTCTCTCTCTCCACTGTATCCTAACCTGTCTTAAGGGATACAACCTCACACTCAAGGGGTTAAGTCATCACGCTCAAAGGGTTAATTCATCGTATTTAAGAAGCTAAGTCAAAGCATTCAAGGGGTTAAGATATTGTATTCAAGGAGTTGTCATCGCATTCAAAGGGTTAACTCATCGCATTCAAAGGGTTAACTCATCGCATTCAAAGGGTTAAATCATCGCATACAAAGGGTTAACTCATCGCATTCAAAGGGTTAAGATCTCTTACATAAAGGGCAGCTTATTCGATGTACTCAGAGGAACGGTTATCCTACTCATGGTGTTAAGTTAGAATATTATAAAGGACAAAATAACATTAACTAAAGCTCGTAAGCTCAACAACAACCATTTTTTCTTATCCTTATTCACTGTACTGAAATAAATTTAGTATATAAATGTCTGAGAATCCGGCACCTGCCCCAACGCTCTCTGCTGGCGCTCTCGTGTTCACCATTGCAACCTCGACTGTTCCTGTTCCTGTTCCTGTTCTTGTCTTATCCAAGGGAACATGGGAGGGAGAGAGAGAGACTGACAACTAGACGGCTGAAGGGACAGAAATGGATAATTGATAAGAGATATAGATGGAATGATTGATAGACAGGTAGATATAGATAATTAAGCCCAGATTATTCAGTATGTGATAAAATAATGTACACAACATAGATACTGTCAATGATATTCCTTCTGGAGTAAATTTTCATATCATCGTCATTCTCATTTAATTTGGCTTCTTTTTCAATTTCAACATTACTTAACGATTAATTATGAAGTAACGAATTATTTTCCGTATAGTTTAAGTGTTTATAAATTAATCACTACGACAAAACAGAAATAATAGCTTTATGTTACTATATTAGTGACCATGGATGCTATTTTATTAGTATTGTGTGTATATGTAAGTATTTTCCCTCCTGTGTTTGTTTTTACTTTTCTTCCTTTCAATATTTACATTAATCTTGTTCTTTCACATCCAATAAACACAATCTGACATCGCCCCTCCATCCCGCGTTCAAAAGGTAGATCAGTGAGAGGCTGCAAGGTTGGCCCCAGTAAAGTTCTGGTCTGCGCCGTTGGTGTGTGCTGCCGCTTGAGTCTGCCTGACCCAGTGGTGGATGTTGTTCCTGGAGTGTTCTTATTGCAAATGTTGTGTGTGTGTGTGTGTGTGTGTGTGTGTGTGTGTGTGTGTGTGTGTATGTGTGTGTGTGTGTTGCAATGTCTACACGTTCTGTTCAAGTCGAATTAAATCTGAAACACCATAAATCCCTTAACTAACCCATCAACAACACTGTCTAATTTAACTTTACTTCACTGTAACCTAACTTTACATAATCTTGCGTACATTACAGGTTCTTACCTTAATTGGCTGGGTGCTGTATGTCATTTGCATAATATAAACGATGACAGCATTCCTGATCTAAACCTGACTTAAGGTAAGCTTAGATTGGCCTGAGTTCAGGTGTTGGTTACAATACCAGTCAGGAAAGTTTACGTAAAGGTATGTAATATACTTATTTGTGAGGATTAAATGAAGAACTAAAGGAAAATTTGGTAAGTAGCGGCCATTTTCCGTTTCTTTAATACTGTAATGTGTAGTCTGTAATATTTGTTCTTCTCTGTATTTCAGCGTTACAGTAACGAGGGGGTGTTGGTGCTGGCCTGTTCTGACAACTGCGTAGAGAGCCGTAAGTTTATTGGATTTTTTATTTTTGTATTTTAGGAATAATCCCAGTTTGTATTGATTTACTAATCTGTATTAATAAATTCCTCTTGTTAATACATAATTGTTTCTTCAAGTATTGCAAGTTAACCATTTAAAAACCAAAACTAAACCTACTAACTAAATTATATTAATTAACAATTCACTACGATAAGAATAACTGATCCCAAGAAAAAATGGTTTAACCATTTATAACCAAACTCTAAGAAAAAACTAGTTTGAACACGTGAACAACAATGTTTAACCCACGAGAGGAAATAAGTTGAACTACCTGAAGACGATAGTTTATCCTCACCAAAACACCAGATAAGTCTTGTTAGATGGGCAGCCGTTAAGTACAGAGTAAATATATAACAGTTTTCAGTGACAAGTAACTTCCATAGTATCCGAAATGTTAAATGTTTTTATATAAATTAATTTACAAAGTTACTTAACCATACCATTCTTGAACAGTAAGATAACTTAATATATGTCAAAAGAGAGATAATGTGATGAAAGAGGGAGACTAAATATTTACACGACAGGCATCACCTACCACCATTACAATAACAAGTGTTCCTCCTCTTGAACATTCACAATAAGAAACATTGAATCAGACCTAAACCAAGCTACCATTCTCAAACGTCACAATGTCTATATAATTATATTCTCTAATTAAAAATTATGCTAAGTAATATTTATTCTCAATATGCCACCTGAATTGTACGAGAAAATATATTCATTTAATTTTTGTGACTTCAAAGGTGGGCCGAGGAAATACTTTACGATGCGCGACACTAAACGTATATTATTATATCCATGAGACCTGTACCGCTTGTGGCTGTGCTGTCGTCAGTACATATTTCCTTTTTCGTCTTAAATAATACGACAATTTTTCAGTACAACAGACATAGCACTCTCATAGTTCTCATCGTGACATGAATGTGTCAATGTGTGCTTTAGGGGATACAAATTTGGTTGTTAGTTTCGGAGAAGTGATGTCAGATATATTACGAACTAAGGAAGATACCGGGTCGGTGTATAGGGCCCTTCCTCCTCTAATAAGCAAACAAAGAAGACAATAGTATTACTTTTATACCCAAGAGGCGAATATGTTCCCAGAGAAGTACAGTTAACTACTAAAGTCCGTTGGCCTCTCCCCCTGACCCACGAATCCTCGAGAGATTCATAAGACTTGTGAACCCCGAAGCAGTAGGCTGATACATTATTCTGTCCATAAATGCTTCGGATTTACGAGTCTGAATCTCTTGGGGGTTCGTGGTTCAGGAGAGGCCTCTATACACCTTGGTAATGAGTATATGGAATCCCATGCATGAGTGCGTTCGTAACATACCGATGCGTTTGTCCGTGTATTCGTGTGTCCGTCCATTTGTCTCAGAGTAAACTGAACACGTATCGGTGGATTTTAATTTAATTTGTCAAGTGATGACCTATAGTCATTTACATGCGGGATCTGGTTAAAACAATGAATTTAGGGACAAGGTTTTTACCCTTTACCAGGTACAGATAGACAGACATTGGGTCAGTCATCAGTCCTTGCTCCATTTACCTCCGCGAGAGACAAAAACGCAGCCATTCAACAGGGATCGATCCGGTGACCTCCTGACTGTAAGAAGAGGATCAAGAACCATAGCGCCACCATTTTTTGTTTGTTTCTGGGTGAATAGGAAATATAATTAACAAATCTCGAATTTCCGAACAGTATCCGAACCCGGAACGTAACCGAAGCGAACTATCCTGACATGACGAATCTGAACTTAACAAAAGCAACGAACCTCTACCCTAACCTAACTAAACTACCTTTTAACTTAACCTAAACTGACTCAACCCCTAATCGAACCCAAACCAAGTAATCCCTGATTTAACCTAACCTAACACTACTAATGCCATTCCTAATCTACTCAACGTCTAACCTCGGTGAGATTTTTGTTGAGTTACCGGTTATAAAAATACTGACAGAAAGAAAGGTGTTTAATAACTCTTACTTGCTGTAGCATATAAAAGGTGTTTAATAACTCCTACTTGCTGTAGCATATAAAAGGGAAGACTATGTGTGTATTTATAAAGAAAAATCAATGCATGCCTGTATAACCTAGAGATGAGGAAGGGAGAGGTCTCAGTGAGCTGCTTCAGGTTTTACCTCACTTACTTTACCTCACTTGACTCTGTGGTCGTTCTTAGTGCATATATTCTCCACATATGCCAATATCAGCAGAACGTCTCTCCCTACTTTTCATCTCCGCTATGCAGGGCAGACGATGCGAGGGGATAACTTACTATTACTGCTCCTGTACACAAGTTTCCTTAACATATTTACTTAACTTTAGAACTGAGTGGATTTATATTTATGATAATAATAAAATTTTCAGGAAAACTAGAGTGTGAGAGAAAATTGTGTTCTTAGAGTGCATATAATGAGATCTCTATATAACGGACTATACCTGTTAGATTGATGTCCGTTAAATGGAGAAGTTTAACTGTATACAGTGTATAGTTAAAAGAATATAAGAGCGTGGGTGATGATGAAACACACACACACACACACACACACACACACACACACACACACACACCAGCATCTCCCACACGTACCAGGATAAGAATAAAAACCCAAGTATGAGATGAGCTTCCGATAAAAAGTTTCAGTCTGAGATAATTTAGATTCTGGTGAAGTTAGATGAAGTTTGAGTGAGTCAGGATTGCGTGGAGAAATTTTAGGATATAATGTTAATTCATGTGAAGTTTAATATTGAGGATGGGTTGGGTTGGGTTGGGTTGGGTTATGGAAAAACATGATAATACAATAGTACAGAGAAGAAGGGCTAGAGAAGCTTTGTAGGTCCTACAGTAGACATAGACATAACCCAGCCCAGCCCAACCTTCTTTTCTAATCTATGCATAACGTTTCTTTTCCAACATCAAATACCTCCTTCTTGCCCAAAACCCAATTTCGTAGTTCATCACCTCATGGAAATATTCTCACCGCCACTCACTAACTTCCTCCTCTGCCACAAGCGTCTCTACACTATTTCCATCGAGAAACTTTAAGCATCCAGGCAGCCAACTTACGGCTATCTTGTTTCGGATATCAGCCCTACAATCTATATATCTGTGTTATGTTCAAACTGGAAATCTTCCATAAACATTACACAAGTCTTTCCCTATTTAAACTTTTATAAACATTAACCTACGTGCGTTCACAAATATCTAAAAAAACAAAAACATAAAATGATATATGTAATCATCCAACATCAAAATCATCTCGTAAACATAGTACACAAAGCTAAAGTCACATTCTCAAAGGTAGAATTACTCTGAGTAGCAGATATAACATTTCCAACTCATTGCTTCCTTGTTCTCAAACTATTTCACCTTTTTCTGCTCACTGATTACAATGTTATCACTATAATCGTGTGTGTGTGTGTGTGTGTGTGTGTGTGTGTGTGTGTGTGTGTGTGTGTGTGTGTTTTCAGTAACTCCCTTCATAAAGCAGACTGAGATTAACCAGAATATCTTTATCCCTCTTACAGTCAGACAGACGACAGAAATCACGTGCTGTGATACGGACGGTTGCAACGGTGGCAGTATGGCGCGACCAACCGTCCTCCTGCTGGTAGTAACGGCCGCCGTGTTGGGTCTCTTCACCACAACCCACTAGCAGGGGCCACCGAGCCTTCCCACCCTCTCTCCCCGTCCACCGTGACGCTACAACGCCTTAGTCCTTGTTAATTTGTGCTGGTGATCCATGTTGACACCAGCCTCGCTATAACACCCTCCCTCCCTTCCCTCCTACCTCTTTTCACAATTCACTACTTCCCTCATTCTCTTCCTTGTTATGTTTCTTTGATTTCTTTCATCCATTCATTTATCTTCACACCTTACCCTTCCCACTCGTTGTTGCCTGATTTTTTTGTTTTGGTTTTGTTATCCCTATTAATTATTTTTTTGGTCGTTTTATGATCATTCTCCCTCTCTCTCTTGTTCGTTATTCTCTCCATCTTCCCTTACTCCCTTCATTCCCACTTTCCATCCTCCCTTCCCCCACCCCCCTCTCTCCGGTATGTGTGTGATATAGCAAGTTTGTAATATTGAAGACTTTGTGTTTCACTTCTCGCACTGCTTGATAGGTGTGTAAGTTTGTAAGGCTGGCTTTACTGTGCAAGTACATAATTAAAGTACAGTATTAATATACTGCATTTATAATTCCAAAGACCTACAAAGGTTACTATCGTTAGATATGTAAAAAACAAATATTAATTGGAAACTAGATATTGCTCATCAGTCTGAAATTATTCTAAAAAAATTATATCACCTTTTATATTCTGCAATAATAATAACATCCTATTATTTTAATGTAGTTTGATTATAATTATTTTACTTTAGCATCGACATTTAAGTTATATTAATACATTCTAGCTTTACAAATTTAATGTATGTTGCTTTGAAATAATGAAAAAAAAATCATAGGAGAGTAGTGACAAAATGTAACGTGTTTCTTTGTATATATTACTGATCACAACTTTATATAGACATAATTGATATTATTATTAAGAGCACATCATCTAATGTAAAGAGAAATTAAGATAATAGTACGCAGTGACGTTCACTCAACAGTCTGGGCTTGCCTCCTGTGTTACCTGAGAAGATCTTGGTGTGTATAATGTAACAGAGGAAGATCTTGGTGTGTATAATGTAACAGAGGAAGATCTTGGTGTGTATAATGTAACAGAGGAAGATCTTGGTGTGTACAATGTAACAGAGGAAGATCTTGGTGTGTATAATGTAACAGAGGAAGATCTTGGTGTGTATAATGTAACAGAGGAAGATCTTGGTGTGTATAATGTAACAGAGGAAGATCTTGGTGTGTTAATGTAACAGAGGAAGATCTTGGTGTGTATAATGTAACAGAGGAAGATCTTGGTGTGTATAATGTAACAGAGGAAGATCTTGGTGTGTATAATGTAACAGAGGAAGATCTTGGTGTGTATAATGTAACAGAGGAAGATCTTGGTGTGTATAATGTAACAGAGGAAGATCTTGGTGTGTATAATGTAACAGAGGAAGATCTTGGTGTGTATAATGTAACAGAGGAAGATCTTGGTGTGTATAATGTAACAGAGAAAGATCTTGATGTGTATAATGTAACAGAAGAAGATCTTTGGTAACTTTGGTGTTTGACAATTTTTATAATTTTCCCAGGACGCCTTTCAAATTGATATTCACTTTACCTCTGTCTGTATAAGTGTTGGTACAGTAAAGTGAGTGCAAATATATGTCCTTATAGTCTTTATCAAGTTACTTTATACCTTACCTAACCTTAGGGATAATCCTCTCTTTTTTAAAGTCCAATGTCAAAAATTTCACGGAGGACATCAGTGTGAGGGGAGAGAGAGAGAGAGAGAGAGAGAGAGAGAAGTCCTGTGAAAATTTAGAAATTCTCAAACTCCTTCACTGGAGTATAACTGCTTAGTGTGACTCACGACACCACAACGTTTAGTGTGACTCAGTGTGACTTATGACCAGGGCGTTTAGTGTGACTCACGACCAGGGCGTTTAGTGACTCAATGTGACTCATGACCCCAACGTTTAGTGTGACTAACGCTGTCACAATAAAAGAAGACGCTTAATTTTCAGACAAGGTTTAGTAGCAACACGTAAATGTTCAATTCTAATTGTACTTGACCTTATTAGCAACCATGAAAAAAGTTCACTAATATCAATCAAGTATTCAGCTCCTTAACGGTCAAAGTTCATCCACGGAGCCCCCCAAGTTCATCCACGGAGCCCCCCAAGTTCATCCACGGACCCCCAAAGTTCATCCACGGACCCCATTAATAAAAAAAAATATGCATGGTCTCTGGAACGAACTTTTTTCACATTAAGTGTTCTGAAAAATATCCGATTTTATTTGTTCTTTTTCGTACAGGTCGACAAAAATTTAAAACAGTTGAGTAAATATCAATAATCATGGTGACAAAATGCGCTGTGTGATTTATTAATTTGTATTCCTAGGGATTTATTTATATTATAAACATATTCCTCATGATCATATGCGACAAAATCAAGCATAAAAAATGTAATAATTTACACAAGATAATATGAATGATGTTCGGTCCTCATACCACGTGCAGTTTCAATGGGGAATTAATAGTGAGGATCAATGGGTATCTTTGGTAACGAGGGGCGGCGCGACGTGTTGATGACGGCACCTCTGACGGTAACAACAATGGTGTGGTCCAGCAATAGAATTAACCTTATAAACCTTTACCTTAAACAGTGACCTCACGATGTTTAGTGTGACACCTGACCACAAGTGTGACCCACAACTAGTATATGCTGGGTGTGACCCGCGACCGTTTGTTGTGGCCCACGACTGCTTGGTATGATCCATGACTGTTTGGTGTGACCTACGACTGTTTGGTGTGACCTACGACTGCTTGGTGTGACCTACGACTGCTTGGTGTGACCTACGACTGCTTGGTGTGACCTACAACTGCTTGGTGTAACCCATGACTGCTTAGTATGGTCCACGACTGCTTGGTGTGACCCATGACAGCTTGATGTGACACATGACCGCTTAGTAACCCACGACTGTTTGCTGTGACCCATGACCGCTTGGTAACCCACGACAGCTCAGTGCTTGGTGTAACCCACGACTCTGAGGTTGCGGCTTGGAGCAACTCAGAGGCTCAAGTTCTCTACAGGTAATTAGGTGTAGTGATAGCAGGTGTAGTGATAGCAGGTGTACTGCATAGCAAGTTAATCAAACTCTCTCTCCTTCCAAACATTGTGGAATCTTTTGACTTATTCGCTCGCTCGCGTCAGACTCTTTCCTGCTGATATTTAGGTCATGTGTTTATCCCTGACTCCAGGTAAACTTGAGAGTGTAAGAGATTTGTGGGCCAGATGACATGCACACAAACACAAGGAGTTTACTGTTGTCAAGTGATGCTCTCTCTCAAGTTTGTCACGAACGCTGTCACGACCACGTAAAAAAAATGCTTTCTTGTGTAATTATAAATCTTGTAATGTAATCTGATGCAAAGGTTCGTGAGAGAATTCGTTCATCTTGGGTGAATTATTATTAGATTACAGTTCATTATAGCATACTGCTGCCAACCTGTGCTCGGCCTGACTCCTGGTCAAGTTTGTATAGTGTTGGACAGAACTGCTTGTGGCGTCTCTGGAGGAAAAAGCACTGTATCGTATCAAGGTTATTTCCCCCGCAAGCTGTTCTTTTTGTAGCATAAATGTTTTAACGGAGTCGTGTTCCTAGTGACCGACCTCTTAATGTATTGGATATAAAATAGAAAATAATAAAAAATGCTTTGAATTTGATTTCCCTCCCACTGAAAATTTTTTGTGTTCAAGTACGAATGATCTGCTGTCACGGCTATTACAAATATATAAATTTACATAATTTTTTTATAGAATCCACAGAATACCTGTATATCATAACGCCTATATAAAAAAGGATAAACAAACATGTCATTGTCTCGCAGTTAACTCTCACCGTCACTTTATATATTTTCCAGACAGAAACAAGTAAGCATTCAGACAGACGTATAGAAAAAAGCAAAAAATGTCCAAACAGACAATGTACACAGGGTAGTGGTGGGCAGTCGTGCGACATGCGGCAAATGGAGCATCACCAACTTGTGGGAACAGACACACCCTCTCTTATCCTGGGGTAACACTGGCCTATACTCCTTCCTCGTGTTGCACCAAACCCACCCATATGCTGCTCCTACTTGTAGCTCAGTTAACATTTTACTCCCGCGGATTTTAAAGGCGGCTGTCCACGAGTGACGTTGTTTGAAAGTGTTCACATCCAAGGTGAGTGTTGTAACAGATCCCAGTTGTTGTGTTAAACTTAGAGGTACACAAGAAGATGTTTGAAAGGCTCACGCACTAGTATGGGCCAGTGAGACAAGTGGCAAACGTGACCATTTGTGTCACCAGGAATCATCACTGAGGTTTTAACTGTCATCTAACACCACAACTGACCGTGAGAGCAGACGACAGGCAGTAGTACACACTCACAACACGCCACATCAGTAGAACAATTAAAAAACCTAAGTTCCAAAATACTTGTGATGAGTGAGCAAAGGTGAAACAGTTTTAACTCTAGGCAGAACTGTAAAACAAACATTCAGTAAAAAGATACCGGCATAAAGCACTTCTTTAAGTGATGTGGCTCTCGCTTTCGTCCCAGTCTGCAACACCTTATCCCTTTTAACCGAAAACTTTTGATGACTAAGAAAGTTTAAATATTATCAATAAGCAATATCTTCAATAACATTTTCTATTCGGTCTTTCATGTGATTTTACAGCGCACCGCAAAATGCTTACGCCACATTAGATCTGAATCGCAAATCTCCACCAAGTTACTGAGGCGGAAGTTGTTCCACGTACCCAAGATTCTCCCTGACCTTTCTCATACACGAAGAAAATGTAAGTTGTATCTCATCAAGTCCTACGTCACGTTAATCTGTCTCTTTTAAGTCATTTTTCCACAACACACGCCTGGTAACCACTCGAGTGTAGACCAGTATTGGTAATTATTATTTTTCATCACATTCATCAACTAGTATTTACACAAAACGTAGAACTAACAAGTAAAAATTTCCGTTCAATAAAAACAATTTGAATATTTTACTGACTTAGACAAAAATAACTCGACTGTTATGTCCTCTGAGGTGCTTATAGATGTATATTAAGTCACCCCTTGTCCGTCTATAGCAGGGGTCACCAAACTACGGCCCGCGGGCCGGATCCCAAGTCCTTCCCCGGCTCGTGGTAGCTCCGCCTACGCTCTGACGTTACCAGAGCTTTCGTTCTGGCTTGCAAGTATTGAACAGAATGATTATGCGGCCCGCGCTCGTCATTCTTTCAGTTCTCCGGCCCACTGTGAAAAAAGTTTGGTGACCCCTGGTCTATAGTATTGTATATGTAAAGTTGTCGTACAGGTTTACAATTGGATAAGCATGTTCATAAACTGTGCAGTTATACAGTTCAGCATGAATATAAACAATGTAGGTAGGCGGTGGAGGTATACCGTTTCCTGTGTGCCGAGACAGTGCAGGTAAACAACAATAGTAAACAGTAAGGCAACTTAACCAATGATAACCGACAAAGAAGTCGGCTGTTATTTCCAGGAGGGGCCTTCAGTTTGGTTTACCACAAAAGGGCTGCATATATATTATCGTGTCTCCCTTTATACAGGGTGTCCCATAAATTTTCATGCATAGGAAAAATAAATTTTAAATGAAAATCCATTTTTATTTATATAATTTGCTCTACATGACTACCATTCTGTTGAAAACACTCTTCAATGCGTGTCCTCCACTGCTGAAGAACACGTTCAAGCACAGCTGGAGTTATGCTTGTAATGGCGTTGGTGATACGTTGTATGGAAACTTATGGGACACCCTGTATAATAAGTCATTGGTATTATATTAATTATATCCGTAAAACAACAATATTAATAAAACAATATTGGAAATTGGTGAGAAAAAATTAAGACCATAAATACTAGTTACCCTTAAAAAAAAGCTAACAAATATATTCATAGAAAATAAAAAGTTTTGATGAGTAACAAAACTATCCGAGTTTTACCTGAACGTGTGTGGACGATGATTGGTAAATTATATCTATTACATTTCTTAAGCGCTTATAAACCAAATGAAAATATTTTCACCAAGATATTGAATAGCGTCCAGCACATTCCCAATGTTTCACTTGTTTTAGGTTTTCAATCATATCACTAATCTCTGTAATCATAAAGCAAACATCGGGTGAAGGATCAATATTTCAACTGATGGAACACCTTTAGAATTAGCTATTATAATATTCATAGATCTATTTTTCATCTACTGAGTGAAACCTCGACTATATATAATGATAGGTGCACAAAACGACATCCTCGGACACAACGTACGCGCCTCGTCTCATCTTCTAATACCAAGTCACACGTACTTCACTAATTTTTTTTTTACAAAAGCGGTAGAATGCATGACCAAATAGAATAATAAATTAGGGGTTTATTCTGAAATCTCTTTTTATCATCAAAAAAACAAGTACAACCCATGATACACATACCAGCTTTGACCGATACTAATTGGTTAAGAAAAATTCGTTATCAAAGAGGATTCTCCAAAGAAATCTCTTGAATTCTTTTTTATACTAAAACCAAGAAATTTCGGACAAGTTGTAAAGACCAGGTACGAAAGGGGAAAATCTGCTGTAAACACCCTTTGAGAGCCCTAGCTGTGGTGCATTTGTTTGAGGCTAATGAATGTGCTGCCACAGAAAATTCATGATCATAGATACAGAAACGGACAGCGCTTCGAGTTTCTTGCTACATCTGGAAGCTCTTCAGAACAAATTCATAATGTCTATTATACAAATCTTTATGATAAAAACTAAAAAAATATTATTGTTTTTGCATTATTTTTTAAAGGAAAATCCTATATCAAAATTTCATATGTAAATATTATAGAACTGTGGAGAAAGACAAGAAACTATTTCCTGTCCAGTTCTATAAAGATAAAGCTTCACATTTTAACAAATGTAAAGGAAAAGAAGGAATCAAATCTTTTCATCTAAAATAGTTTCGAGATTTGTAATCCTTTTGACTCTAGATCATTATTAAATTACCTAGATGAACTTTCTTGGAGGAAACACTTACTGTGTACTGTATACGGCTCGAGTGCTCCCTTCTCACACATACTGTAATCACATCCTCAACTATCCCGCCAGATCTAGAGGATAACTGTCGGAAGATGGTAGTTCGTCACCACTGGAAAGGAATTTACACTAGTAACTACACCGGGTCATTATCCATTTGAAGAAAATTTTGCCTAATCGTCATTCTGATAGAATAAGTTGTTCTTCAACAATGTATAAGTTTTGACATTCAGTGCTGCTATAATATGACTACCTTTAGTAGTTTTCAGTAACTTTTCAATCAGTAATATATATTTTTGGTTGGAATGTTCATAGTCTGATTATTTTATGTAAATAGAAGATAATTAACATATTAATCTTGAAAGATTCTAAGCAGGTTAACATACTCTATCCTAGATTTTTTTTTTATTTCCGTAAACAAACGTTTTACTGTAAATGCGAAGTTCATTTTATGTCTTCCCGTGTACCATCTATCCGACCTTATTTAATAAATGGTGAGCACTTCAGTTTTAATGTTAAGTCAAATATGATCCTGCCAACTATTCATCCATTGTGTATGGGCAAGTAAAATAATATTTTGGACACCTAAGTAATGGAAGCATGGCTCTACTGCTGTATTAAGGTAATCTATATTCAACTACAGTACTACATAAAGCGACCTGAGACTTTCACGTTTTGAAAAATTACTCAGTTTATCCAACTATTCCAACTAATTTTGTTTCAGAGGAAAATAAATCGATTTCCATTTACCACACCCTCCCAATTGTCGATTAATTACAACAGATAAGGTATTAGACTTGGTATTTACAAAGATTAACTAGATACCGTAAAACTACTCTAATTTTCTGATCCTGCCCTATACTGACTTGGAGTTTTCAGTCTTATTTAGGCAATAATTAATCAGATGAATTAAATTTCAAATTGGAATGGTATTATAAAATTTAAACCACGAGTAACTCAAAGCCGTCCTACACTTTTATATATAAAAATTCACTCTCAGCCATATTACATTTCGTGGCCAGTCATGAAGAAATTGTGTGTACTCTTGCCCGTAGACATAATACAGTCGTCTGTGTTTCTTTGTAGAGTAGATTCTTACGCACTGTTGGCAAGTACTGGCCCCCGTTCAGTACTTCAGTTTGTTCCAAAGTTATCGCTTAACCACCAAGGGCTGCAAGTATATCGCCTTGTCTTCCTCTATATAATTAATTGATTGGTATTATCTTAATTCTATCAATAAAATGACAGTATTAACAAAAAACAATATAAAATTTGGGAGAAAATAAATTCCACACCATAAATATTTAGTTCCCCCACAAATTATTTCCATTTTCTGACAAATATTTTGAAAGAAAATGAAATGATTTAATTGATAACTAAGTTATTTAGTTTTTATTTGAAGAAGAGTAAACAATGATTGATAACTCATATCAGTAGGTTTTCCTTTTTGTATCCTCGTTTTTTCCTGTGGTAGCTTGTGTCGTTAATTATTTACTTCTTATAGGCATCTGAATTGCCACCTTAAGGATATTTCATCATTGAAGTTAAATGTTTTCTTAACTCATGAAAATATCAAACAGTGCATGAAACATATGGCCCTACCAAACATCACAGATTTCCCGGCCTCCGGTTTCCTCCTGCATTAACACTTCTTGTTAGACCAACAACCCGAACGGCTACTAAACTTAAAAATGGTGAAAATGGATAAAAAATACAAAAACAATTACCGAGACGAAGAAGATGTCAAGGGTTTTGACTCCCGACAGAGAACGGAAGTAGTGACTCAGGAGAACAACCGACCACAACACACTCTTGAGGAGAGGAACTGAGGAGCTGTGGAGGTAATGGGTAGATAGTGAGATAGTTATTTATTCATTAAAATTGGCATACGTTCGAGTTTATATAGATTTAGTGTGTATATAAGTAATGAATGTACAATGAAAGACAAAAGTCGTGTCTCTGTACTCAATGTTCCTAATGCCCAGGATTAGTCTTGTAACTAACACTTCTTTGTATGAACCCAATACGTCATTCTGTGGATATGGTTTAGTGTATGCAGTATGAATTCATATATTATTTGTTGGAAGCATTTGTTTATATGAAACTCAATTCAAATACCTTACAAGTTTATATTATAGTAGCTAATTGTTAAGAAATTAGTCAGGTGGACATAGATTAGAATTCAAGGGAAAAATCGACAAAATTAAATTAGGAAAAGTGCAGTTTCTTGTAAACACAATTTTCTTGATGTAAAAAATAATTATCTTTAATGTAATATTTTTTTTAATTACAGTAGGTGCTTTATGTGCACAAACAACGTAAATATATACCAAAAGAAGAGCGGATTCCCGTATATAATAAATGAAGGGAACACGAGTGTCACACAAAACAAGAAATGATACTAAGAAATTTTTACCAGCGGTGTTACAGTGTGTCTGTCCGATCAAGTCACACACTGTCGTCAGTCTGCTGCAACAGTTATGGTGACAGGCAGCCATGTGTGATCGCTGCTCATAGTGAGTACTGTAGCTATGAAATTAATTGACTTGGATATAATGTACAGTATATTTTACCTAATGTAGTTTTATGTAGTTGTACCATTCTCTCCTTTGGAATTTGATCTTATAGAAAATAATTGGTGCAAATATTGAACATAAATTAAGTTTAATGTTGAATGGTACCTTATCTAAAAAAAAAAAAAAGGGGGGGGGGAATGTACAATTCCTCCAATTGATTTCATTTATTCTTGAAGTAAAACAAAGTTTTCTCAAGGTATTTTTTCATTAGGTAGCTGCTTAACACAGACCCCCGTTCTAAACTGTTGCTAATGAGTTATCTTACAATTATTCTTTGATTAGATGATGTTAATTTTAGTTGGTTCCCCCTAGTTTTTGTTAAGTATGGTGCATGTTGCATAGATCGCCCTGTTAGTCTTTCTTCTCCTGTTGATAAAATATAATTTAAAACTGGCCCTTACCAACCAACCAACTTATGAATCTTGGTCAGGTTAGGTAGGTCTGGTTATTTTATGTTATCTGTAATAAATCATTTACGTAACTGTAGGAGAAAACTCTACACTGCTAAGGCAAAACTGATGAATTAATGATATGAAGGTTTTATTGTTTTATCATAGAGGTCTCACTATAATATCATTGTGCACCTCAAGCAAGCTAGACTGTTATTTTCTAACAGTTGCATTTTTCATTCATACACTTTGCTTTAACAAATGGTCGTTAATGTACTTATTAAAGACTATAGAGGAAAATTTTAATTTCGTTGTTAATTAGCTAAAGATTTTAGTATGCTGCAACATTTACATCTTGTATGAAATGGGACATATATTTAGTTATAAGACTAAGTGATGCTCACTGTGGTTGAAATGGAAGGACATATGCCAACATGAATACATTTTTGCAGCAATACCAGCAGGGACTTCATTCTGCTGGTACCAAACTACAGCTCCTTTATGGCCAGAAGTGCAGCAGAAATTACGCACAAGACACAGTAACAGCTTACCATCAGGGGACATGACCGTGTCTACAAAAATCACGTCGCCCGGCAGCAGGTACAGTGCGATGATACACAATTCATAGCTTCCAGGAGTGTAATACTAAACTGTGCCTTGAATAGAATAGAATGTTTTTGTCCCCAGTTCCCCAGTCACTAATAAGAAGTCATTCCCTTTTCCCCATTCCTTTATCCCAAGTCATTCCCATTTTCACATCTATAATTGTAAGTCCTCTTTTCCCCATCCCCTAATCCCAAGTCATTCTCATTCCCTAATCTTAAGTCATTTTTATATCCTTGTTGATTAATCCTTATTATTCCCTTCACAAGTCATTTGTTATTAACTAGCTTACATTCCCAGAATATTTGTCTTCTTGATTTACAGAGAACCACCAGACACAGTTGACCAGGAACAAGTATTGGATGAGGGAGAATTCACTGATAACTCACATTTGGAAGACAGAGGAAGTACTAGAACAAGAAGTTTAATCAAGAAAGTAAGTGAGTACAGTATAAGGATATCCCTATTAGCCGGAATAATTGGTACAGAGCTTTTCTGGGTATGAGAGATTTCTGGGTGATAAGACGACTCTCTCAAACCCAGAAAAATCCTACATTCCCGAAATTTTTCTGGTTACTGGGAAAACTTTCTGGAAATTGTGCATTATCTGTTCCCAGACCCAGAATAGAAAAATTTGTAAAGAATTTCCAGAATTTTCTGGAATTTTTCCAGATTTACGCTTTATTTCTTCCTCGGAATTTGTTCTAAGACCCGGGAACAAAAAAAAAAATCCTTTTCTACATTCTCTTCACATGCCCAAACTACAGTCTACCACTCTTCAGACCTTAGGTAATACAGGGGGTTCCCAACTTACAAACGCCAGCCGATACGAACGAGGTTAAACCTGAAATTTACAGTAGTACTGTAATTTATTTACCTGATGACTTATTTTTTTACTTTCATTTACTGTATATTGTCATTCTATTTCTTCTTTTCTCTTAAATTAAGTGATTTTAGATGTATACAGGTTGACAATCCCTTATCCGAAATCCTTGGGACCAGAGGCATTTCGGAATTTTTCGGTTTTCAGAATTTTTTTTTTTTTTTTGTATTGGCCCATCCGGGCACAAGTCACTGACCCACATTGGGGCCTGGGGGTCGAAAATATATTAATAATTATAATATTAATTATAATAATAATACAGGTAATAATAATAATTCATAGGACTAGGTCGTGTTACTCACTTTTTATCTTTTTTTCATTCTTGTATTTCTTTATTATTATTATTATCATTATTATTATTTTATAAATACAGTATTATTGTTATCATTATAATTTCATTTTCGTGTATTTTTAATTAATTTTTTTATTTACTATGAATAATTACTTATTATAATTATTATTATTATTATTATAATTAGTATTACTATTACATTTTCGCCCCCCAGGCCCCGATGTGGGTCAGTGATCTATGCCTGGGTGGGCTAATCACTGTAAAAAAAAATTGCTCCACAAAAAACTTTCGGTTTTCGGAATTTCGGATGAAGGGTTGTCAACCTGTATAAGGACTTAGGCTACGATTATTCTGTAAGTACGGTATGCACATAGCATGTGTTCCGACTTACATACATTTCTGACTTAAGAATGTCCTCAGGAATAGAACCCGTTCATAACCCGGGGACCCCCTGTACTCTCAATAACCCAGCTACCCTCTTAGATTTAATTACCAGACAATATTTTGCCTACAAATTCTTTCATTCATTGGGTTCACATTAATCATTCTTTAAATTCTATTACTTATAGTTGAGACTGGTAACATGTCAAGATCACAGAATAAAACAGAGTATGACTTTGGTTACATACAGTTTCTGCACTCTGACCTGAGGACCCAGATGCACAGTGAGAGAATGAAGTATCAGCCAGGATTTTGACGAATACAGTTGAATCATTCGACACATGCATGTACTGTAGTCTCGGTAATGCTTCCAACATAATCCGTCAGGTTTCATTATATTTCTGCCAAAGCTGGGAAGATACTTTGTTCTGTCACTGTCCGTCGGTTGAATTTTCATATCTTGGTTGGACTCTAGCATTTTTCATTGAGAATAACCCGATGGTGATATTTTAAATAATTATAGTTTATATACCTAAAATTAATATTATTGTGACATAAAACTTGTGATTTGTCATTTACATTGTTATTCTTCCTTAGGTAAATGTTAGTGAAGATGTCATAGAAGATTTGACTAAATTATTGGACATCAGCTGTGATGAAGCTCTCCATATAGTGCATCCCAGTGACATTCTTGAGGTGTCTGATGAGGCCTTAAGGGAAACTGTGCACTTTTTAAAGGATCACAACATCACCTCACAACAGTTAAAACGGGTTCCCTGGATTCTCTTAGAGTCTACAGGTTTGTGGCCACTGGTAGCACATGTAAAAGCTAGCGATATTCTTGCCTTCATCTAGTGGTTTGAAGGACAGCAGATCCAAAAGGGAAGAATTAGATTAGAACATAAGTTTTTATGTGAAAGCAGATAGAAATGCCCCCCTCTAACCTTCCCTAAATCTTGAAATTAGAATTATTCCTCATGGGGTGGGAGTCTGAAACATTACCAACTGAAGTAAGGTGTCTTCTTAATATACCTATATAACTCTGTAGTGAATACAAAGTAGGTTGTGCTAAGCTTTGTCCACGCAGTAAGAAATGTATACTTCAGATGTATACGAGTGGTGAACCATCCCATACATGAAATAGTATACCATCTGATGCAGAAAGTACGGTATTATCCCATACATGAAATAGTATACCTGTACTATCCATACATAAATAGGTTATGAAGAAGGTTGTTTATATTATTTTTGTATCGACAGATAGTCTTCATAAAAAATTCCAGAAGCTAACAGAGCCGTACATGTTCCAAAACTGGTCAGACGGTTTAGGATTTTGTCACTTTACGGTGGAGAGGATGGAAGCTTACCGGAAAATTTTTATGTCTGAGGCAAATAATTTTCCTGATCACCCCAATCGTATATACTACTTGGCGGAGAAGTTAAAGGTAAGACTAAAACAGTTATAAGAAGGGAAGAGTTTTGCCTGTCTGATAAATGGGTGGTGAACATCTGGGGAACAGTGATGTGTGTGTGTGTACGGCCAGGAAGTGTGGTGTTGAGTGGTGTTTATGGATTGAAGTGTTGCTGGGCTCTCTCTTTTCTTGGTTGTACATTCACTCCAAAAACAGTCTCTACCAAAATTATGTTGGACAAAACGACACAACGAATGAATGATTTTGACAACACTACCGAGATAACAGGAGTCGCAGTGTTCATTCTGAAATTCATTGACCCCACCCCCCCTCTAGTAAAGATAGTTTTTGAGCGACTGTACATTTGTATGCTAGGCAGTGCCATTTAAGTTATTTATAAAATACTTTAGTTACTGCATGGTGGAGCTAACATGTATGGTTGCCTGGACTTATGCCTGATATAGTGGCTAATGCATTTTTTGAGATGTGGCAACTCTGTGGAATGCTTATCTAGCATCTTTGGTCACGCTACTATTGCAAGGTTCCTTAGGGCCTTACCGGGTGTTTTAATACATTCTAAACAGAGTTGCCACATCTCACAGAACTCACCAGCCACTGTACCTGGTATATCAGGCAACTGTACATACTGTATATGATGGTAATGATACATGGTAAATAGAAGTACACTAATAGAATGTTGGTTTAAAGTGGAGATGAATATGACACTGAGGAATTCAGTTTTAAATTCAGTAATACACTGTTCTGTTTCAGGTCCCTGTTGAGCAGCTCACAGAGAAGATCATCAAACCCCACAAGATTCTAAAAATTAAAATTTCACGACTGAACCAATTGCTTGATATTTTTCACGGTATGTATACAGGGTAGTCATTTACTGAAGTCATACTAGTACGCCTCTCCCCTTGAACCCCCGAGAGATTCAGATTCCTAAACCTGAAGCAGTAGACCGATACATTAATCTGTTCATAAATGCTTTGGATTCATGAGTCAGAACCCAATGGGGTTCAGGGGGAGGGAGAGGTGAACAAACTTTAGTTATTGAGTGTACATTTATGATGTCTTAAAATTTTGTAACATGTTGATAGAGTAAATTTAATATTAGAATTTCTGCTTTCTTATGTTGGTATAATGATCTGTATAATTATCTGTGAGCATCATAAACCAGTACACAAGACTAATGAAGAAGGAAATTAGGATAACGTCATTTCTTGTCTTCTTGCAACGAGTAAAACAAAGTCAGTTCAACACTTCACCTCTCTTTAATTTGTTTAAGTTCACGTTCTAAAATTCTTAAGCAAAGTTTATCTGTCCTGTACAATTTTTCATTTGTTAAACCATTTGTAAATTCTAGCAATGATTCCTGTCCTTGTTATCAATCTTTCATGCTGCAGATTCATTATACAGTAAAGCCTCGAATAATGACGTTAATCATTAATTACCATTAAAATAAAGCAATAATAATGAGATGCGTTCCCATGTGTGACCTTTTCATATCTTTTGTGTGGCTTTTTACCCTCTTTTCCCCCAAAAAGCAATACAATTAATGAAAATTGAAAATATATTTTTTAAATAATGTTTCTGAATGCACCTTATACAATATAAATGAATAATAATATGGTCACACAAGAGGAGATGGGACGCCATTGTTTTCGTTTGTGTTTACAGCCGGGAGTCTGGGATGATAGTTATACACGAGACATTTAAGAAAATAAGACCCTGGTTGTAGTTTTAGTTAAATTAATGTAAAAAATTAATATACAGGGTATATGTTTTAAGTAATGTTATTTAATGTTACTTTTTACTTTTTTTTTTACTTTTATCCAATTCGCCACAGATCGGCTTGGGCGATCGGTCACGTCTCTGATTACTTTTCCTTTTCATTTATCTTCTTCACCAAAGAATCGGCTCGCTAGCCGCCCAGGCGATCAGTCACGTCTCTGTCACGCACTGTTGGCAAATACTGGGCATGCACCGGCTCCTGAATGTACCTGAACCCACTCCAGTTAATAAATGTAACAATAGAAGTAGCTAACCACTAATGGCAAGGAAAAAAAGTGATATGGATTGGGAACACCAACATATACGTGAGCATTTAAGGAAAACGTGTCATTTATCTTTTTAAGAATATGTACAAAAGATTCATTATTGTTTATTACTGAATACGTATTTGATTGAATTAATCTTTATATCAAAATGAATAATACAAGTCATTAATAATACACAGAATATTAAAACACACAAGAGGATAAGAGCCGCCATTGTTGTCAGTGTTTACACCCATAATGTCAGTTATCCACCTGAAACTGAAGAAAATAAGACCCTGGTTGTTGTTGTTGTTGTTGTAGTAAAATTAATGTAAAAAATATGTATGTTTTAATTAATGTTATTTAATGTACAGTAGAAGTAACCACTGATATTAAAGAAAAAGTGAGACTGATAGTGGAACGCCAATGTATACGTGCGCACTCTAGGAAACAGTCATTTATCTTAAGAATATGTACAAAAGGTTCATTACTGCTTATTACTGAATATGTATTTGATTGAATTAATCTTTATACTGTATATGTGAAATGAACAATGCAATTCATTAATAATACGTAGAATATTAAAACACACACGAGGAGACAAAACGGCATTGTTTTCGTAAGTGACGATGGTTCTACATAAGAAACTAAAGTATTCAATTTCAAAACATCACTCTACATTTCCCTCCACAAATAACTACAGCTCCTGCCTGACTTACGACCACTCGCACTTACGACCTGCCTCAGTCGTACCAAAATTTGGTCAAATTATGTATTTTCGAGTCCCAAAGTCAATACACCGACAAAATTTTCGTTTGTAATTCACCTTAAAATGGCTGTCAAGCTTAAAAGTGAGTGTTTTGTGGTGCTGAGAAGATAAAGAGACACCCATTTTAGATTTTCTATGTATTATTTCCGACTTACGACTTGGAATTGGGTTCCTAAACCCGTCGTAAGTCGGGGAGGAGCTGTAGTCCACATAGTAGATAGAAAATGTGTGAAATGGCAATGCTGGTTTACATCTTCCTAAGTGTTTCATGGTCTACACTCTTATTTATTACAGTAGTCTTTCAACTATGAATGAACGTAATGGCCCAATTTTTACAATTGAGAAGCTAAATTTTTCTCATTGGTCTTTATATTTGAGTAGTTTGCTTTTTATCTTTAAAATGGTGTAAATTTATATACTGTATCTGTGTTTGTCTTTACAGTATTGCACATTCTTTATTATTACATTGATATCCCCATTAGCCGGAACAATTATTGCAGAGCACTTCCGGGAATGAGAGATTTCCGGGTAATGAGACGACTCTCTCAAAGCCAGAAAAAATCCCTCATCCCCGGAGGGTAACGGAAAAATTTTCTCAGAAGTTCCAAAATTGCCCATTACATCATCTCTCGAACCCGGATAAATACCCCTCATTCCCGGAATTTTCTGGGAAACGGAAAATTGTTCTCGGAATTTCCAGAAAATGCACCTGATTTTCATCTCTCAAACCCAGGAAAAACTCCCCCATCCCCGGAATTTTCCGGGTATCGGGAAAATTTTCTCGGAATTTTCTGGAATATGTGCCCCTCAGAAAATCGTTCCCATAACTTTCAATACAGCTACCTGTATTATCAGTGGCCCATTTTTTCCACAACTCATTATTTAAAGTTAAGACTGATAAAACATGAAGAGCTTCACTATTCTCCTCCAAGATATACTGTTCCCCATGATCCTTTTCATGTGAGTTCTCAAACAAGTTATTTGAAGAATATTAATCACAAATCAATTCCTAGACACTAATGTGAATTCTGATTGTTCTAAAAACTGTCCAGAGTACGGGGTGCCTCCGGAAGACCTCCTCTCTGATTTGTGGGTGTTCTTCTATAATACTGAGAAGATAGAAGTGAGGTTACAACGAGTTGCTCAGTTGGGTATCCACGCACCCAAGCCTTGGATGTGTCGTTGTTCCTTGGAAATATTTGAGAGGTAAATCCTAATTAGCAGATGATTATATGAAATGGATATATATGGTGTTTGAACTCTACACATGCCTCTTCAATATAGAACCTTTATCTATTATATATCAGATTTCTCTTCTCTGCATCTAAATGTACCTAGACATCCTCCTTCTCTCTCAGTTTACTGTGTTCAGTTTTTTTTCATCATGCTATCCTTTTGTATAATTTGTAGATTCTTTTTTTTAGTTACTCTGCTGGCCTTCTTAATATTTATTTGGCCAAAATGACATAAAATATTCTGTACTTTCTTTAGCACTCCATACAGCACTGCTCTCAGTTTCTCACATCCTGAGAATATCAATGTTATATTAATTTAACATTTCTCAGTCTGTCATGCATTGAACACTTCCCTTTCAGTATCACATATTCAGTGTTAGGGCATATCCTTCATACTAATTGAGGACAGTTTAGTGCTGCCTTCACAGCTGTCAGTGCAGAAAAGGACACAAAATTTTGCTGTTTACAACAAGTTATGAAAAATTTTGGAAAAAAGTTTTTTAATCTTATGAGGAGTTACAAGAATTAGTGTCTTTATTAATAGCTTTCTAAGTTACTGATAAGAGCTGAAATATCTGCATTGTAGCTCAATTCAGAAAGTATAACTTATTGCTTTCTTTAGTGGGGAAAGTTAATAAAAAAAAAATTTCCGAGTCCAAATGTTCATTACAAATGCACAGACCATGTTAGTTAAGATATGGGGTTAGCTGTTTGGGATCTGATGGTCACCACATTGAGGTAATCTTTGCATCTTTACCTTGCCCAGTTCCTACTCTATAAAAGTGTTTTGGTGATACGAAGGGCATCCAGCGAATAAACTAGTTTCAGACTTGCCTAATGGAGACTGGGACAACATGCTATCAGGCTAACTCAAACAATCATGTGAAAATGGCCATGAAGTGATAGTGAGAAAACCTTCGCCAGTTTCGTTTTCTTTGATGCAGATTCTGTGAACGCTTTACTACAGAGAAGAGGCTCATGGGTGATCACAAGGACTTGCTAGGATATTTGTCAGAAAGGTTGGAGTGTGAGCCGAAGATGATCACCAAGCACCTACGGAGTAATACTGTGTTGAGAAAGATACACATCAGCAAGTTGCAGAGAATCCTCGACCTTTTTTACTCCGAGGGACTTAGCTCTGAGGACGTCAGGTACAATATGTTGTATTCTTGTTAGATACGCTTCTTTATGTTGTATATTGAATGATTGTCCAAGTCTTTCATTTATTATGTTGTACTGTATGCTCTCTAGAGGCACAGGTGTAATGTTATTTATATATTTTATGTTTGCTTAAGGCTCTGGTTTATTTTACTGTTTAAGGGATTAATTGGTTATGAGCGTGAAGTCTTGCCAGTGTAGCTGGGGAATTTTACACAAATATATTGGGTGATTAAAATCTTTGCACTGGGTAAGCCTCAGGAACATTCATACAAATCATTGGTTGTCACAAGATGGATGAAGTCATCAGTCCCTGGTCATTTAATTATTGATCTTTGATTTTTCAGAACTGACCATACCAACTTGACAATCATGTAATTGTATGACATCATCAAAATGGCATTCAAAAAATTGGTACAAATAAGTGACTCCCCAAAATTTAAATTTAAGTACAAAGAAGAATTTCTGATATATTTTAAAAAATTTATTTTTTTCAATCATGAGTATTATCATTGTCAATGTATTATGGCAATTTTCCACCACTCCACATTTAGGCTAATGCCTCTCTTGACCTAATCAGTCTCATCCACTCTTTTTAGTTTTTCGGTTCATCCCAAACAGTCTGATATATTACATCTAGGTTTATCCCACTAACAAAGCATCAATTCAATTCTATTTAGACTTCATTATACCTATACATTGTTTAAAAAAAATTTCTTGTGTGTTTATGTCTCACACAATCTATTATTCTGTCCATTTCTCAGGTCATGCATACGAGTGTTACAGTACTCAGAGGAGAGAACAGCACAGAGGATCAAGGAGCTGAAGGAGGTCGGTTTCTTCCCATTTCCCATTATTTTGTTATGCAAGACGCCCGCTAACTTCAAGAAGATTGTTGACCGCTTCAAGGAACAACAAGCTATATTGAACTCTCAAGTGAATAATTAAAATTACCGGTAAACCCTTCCAATACCAGACTAATTGTTGCAAGCTTTGTCCATTATTGGGAGAATTCTGTCATTGAGAATACTTGCCATCGAGAAGTCTGCTATTGAGAGGGTTTACTGTATTTATTACTTTATTGAGAGCATTTATTGGAGCAAACAATTTATTGTTGTTCAAAGCTCATGATTTATACAACAAATACTGTACATGCCATTATTATTTGTGTGAATCACAAAAATAAAGAATCTTTATATGAGTTTACATTATTTTCCTTTGATTAAATGACGTATGTGATGATTTTCTTTTGCCATAGCATTAAGCACAGTAGTGCAAATAAGTTATGATAAAACATGAAATAATTTTACTTTTGCTTCCCACTCTCTGCTTCTCCTCCCCTCAGACTGTCACAGCACTAAAGTTTCCCCTAGTCACAAAGTGGAAGTCTTGTTTTTTTTTTCAATAAATTTTTGTTTGGTCTGAAAAATGGCAGATGAAATTTAACCTGGACAAATGTAAAGTACTTAGTCTAAGACAGTGGCTCCTAATCTATTTAGGGTCGCTCCCCCTATAGCAGTTGGTCCTCAACCTGGAATGTCATAAATTCTATTCAGAACAGGAACACTCAGCCTTCGGCCCCCCACTCAGCTTTTATGATAAATGATTCAGTTGAAATGGAACTCTCCCTCATTGCCAACCACTTCAATTAATATTTTATTAATGTTGGCAAAAATCTTGCAGAGAGCATCCCTGATCACCATGAGGAATTTAGAGCCTACCTGCAAAACAGACAGCAAAATGAGCTGTTCTTATCCCCTGTCACAGCAGATGAATTACTGGCCATCATAAAAAAGTCCAAAGATGCAGCAGCATGCAAAGACAATATAACAATGAGCATCATTAAGAAAGTAGCCCACTTATTACTACCTGTTCTCATGCACATTTGTAACTCCTCCTTCACTAGTGGTGTCTTTCCGGATAAACTGAAAATTGCTAAAGTTCACCCAGCATATAAAAAATCTGGGGACAAAGGTCTCTTCAAGAATTACCGCCCCATATCAGTCCTCCCAGCCTTGAGTAAGATACTGGAGAAGCTAGCATGTAGTAGACTAAATTCCTTCTGCAATGCCAATAATATTTTCACAGACTCACAGTTTGGATTTAGAGCTAGAAGGTCGACTGAGAGTGCTCTGCTATCCTTTACTAATGACATCTTAAATTCCTTTAATGACAATCAGTTCACATTTGGTATATTCTTGTGTAAGGGCGGAGGATTCTACCACTGAACCACCATTAAGGGCGGGGATTTTCTTCCTTCCTTATTCTTATTTCATTGGTAGAATTCTCCGCCCTTACAATGGTGGCAGCAGTGGGATTTACGGACAAGGAGCCTTGGTGTAAAATGCGTTTCTTCCTGGGGATAACTAACCAGTTATCCACATGTTTTGCGGGCATGAAGTATAAGAAGAATCGACAGGTTACAAACAGACCAGCAGTCAATGTGACCATGACAAAGCTCCCCTTTTCCCCAAGATTTTTATTATGTGGTAGCATTCGCTAAACATGTACAGTAGTTACACAGATTCTTTAAATAACTGTTACCTTTTGTCACAGTTTCACACTAAATACACTTTGTATATTATTTGTAATTCGAAACCCATTCCCCAATTATGTAACTGTATATTTTCAGCCTTCTGGCTGCCAAGCTCTTTCAATAAACCGTTAATTATTATTATTACTATTATTAAGAACACATCAGGACTATTACAGGCATCTGGCACAAAAAAAGCATACAAAACAAGAACAGAATGGTTACATACATGGGATAAACGGTAGTTTAAAAAACCATTCTATTATCACGGACAACATTGAATAGGGCAACAAAATACAGGTAAATACACATACATAGGAGAATAATGTACCGATACAGAAAAAGCATAAAAATGGGGTTACATACATAACAAAAAATTTGTTACACAAAACACACTCTGGAGATACAGCTTCTCATATCAAGAAAGTTTTCATTGATGAGATTGATCAAATGCTTACTGGACATCACTGAGATTTAACTTAGACTTCTCAAGCTAGGACATAGATAAACGGACCCCATCGAGTCGAAGGATTGATTTGTTTGACTTTATACCAAAAAGTCATATCCTACTCGCTAGAGGCAGCAACATTCGGGGGATCCCGGACGAGCGGAGATATTCCCAAGAATACAATGCAATACGAAACGGTCCTTATGGGAGCACAACCAAACCAAAAAACTGTCTGTACTTATGGCATTTGCCATGTAGCGGAAATCGGTGCCATGCTTGCCATGCCCGAGCCCCCCTAACACTACTCCTATACACAACAAGCCTAGCTAGGGCTTAACACACAAAACTTGAGAACTCACAACTGGTATCTTTACTCAAGTATAATAAGAATCAACAGGTTACAAACAGACCAGCAGTCAATGTGACCATGACACTTGGACCTCTCTAAAGTCTCCAATACTGTCGACCATACCATCCTCCTTTCAAAGCTTGAACATTAGGGGCCTGTCCCACAATTGGTTTACCTCATATCTGTCCAACAGAATGCAGTATGTCTGCTATAATAATCACCAATCTGACTCCTCGCCAATCTTGTATGTCGTCCCCTAAGGTTGCATTCTCAGTCCAGTACTGTTTTTGTTGTATACACACACCTGTTAAGGTCATTCCTTATTTTTGCTCTGGGTTTGCGCCTCCCCTGGATATTACTCAGGCCCCCTTAGGGGGGCGTGCCCCCCCGGTTAAGAACCGCTGGTCTAGGAGATGTAAACAGAGAAATCAGATATCAGATGAAGAACGTTGTTATAGAGAAATCCGACTGTGTGAAAAAATTTAGGAGTAATGATAAGTAGGAATCTTAAACCAAGTAAACACTGTGTGTTTGCTCGAAACATGGCTAACAAAGTACTTGAGTTCATACAAAGGAGTGTTAGTTACAAGACGCGAGGTTATCCTAAAACTATCCTGCGCTTATGAGACCTCACTTGGATAACGCAGTTCAATTCTGGTCACCGAACTACAGAATGGATATAGAATCTAGAAAGAATTCAGAGCAGAATGGCAAGCTTGAGTACAGAGACAGGTTAATACTCGTTAATATTGACTTGCAATAGTAATGATATTAAGTTTTATGTTCGTTTTTTTTATTGTCTTTGTGTCTATAATGTTGAAAATTGGAAACATGCGAACAGCCAATGGACGAATATTAACCAATGACCCATATTATTATTATTATTATTATTATTATTGTTAACCATTTAATTAAAGTGATACTCGGTTGGTCTATTTAATGCTACTACGGTAACACGTTTAAATTAAATCAAAGTCTGGAGTACTGTCACCCCGTCTTGTCCCCGTGATATGCTAGGGACTGTCAGTTGACTGAAAATGTCCAATGGAGGGCTACCAGGCTGGTGCCAGCACTTCGGCACCTCAGCTACCCAGAGAGATTGGAGTGCATGAACTAACCTAGCTTATACTACAGACGGGCAACGGGGATCTAATTGGGGTGTATAAACATCTCAAAGGGCACTACTCAGTCGAGTATACTTACCTGGAGCTGACGGATGCTCGCCCCACAAGGGATCACAGCTCAAGGTTGAAGAGGCCACAAGTCCAAAAAACTGTGAGAGGTAACTTTTTCGGAGTTGTGAACTCTTGGAACAATCTGCCAGAGAGTATTGCGACGGCACCGAGCGTGGTACAGCGGTAACGTGCATAACTCTCACCTATATGTCAAGGGTTAGAGCCTCGCCCCTGACACACGTGAGATGGGTGCTATCCAGTGTGACCCTACCAAACACCACAGGTTTCCCAGTCCCTGGTTTCCTCCTGTACTAACACTGGCTAGACCGCCCAAACGGCTAGTTAGCTGATAAGTGGCGAATATGATTAAAAATAAAAGAAATGACCAGACCTGACAAGCACTGGAGCAGGTTCAGATTATTCAGGAAACAGTGCATGCCCACTAATTGCTAACAGTGCGTAACAGAAAATTGACCAAGCAGCTAACGAGCCGATCAGTGGTGAAGAGGATAAAAGTAAAACAGTAAAAGTACTGTATATTCAAAATTATTAAGTCCCACATTGTATCACATTCATTTTTTATTTACGTTCGTTTTCTTTGATGCAATTAAAGAAAATGTAACTTTTACATGGGATGACTTCTCTACTTTTTTATTATGGTTGTAAAAAATAGCAATTATTTTACTTTAGTTTATTTCGTTTTATTTTAACCCCTTCGCCACCGATCGGCCGGTTAGCCGTTTGGGAGGTAGGTCACGTCTTTGTTAGGCACTGTTGGCACTGTGGGCATGTACTGGTTCTCTGTTATGCACTGTTGACAACTTAATTGATGATAATTAGTATATGTGCAGCTCCTGCACTCAGTGCTGTAGGGCAATTTTGGCCCATTCAAATTCAGGCACAGCAGTCCATCTCTGTTTCCATATCAGTTAACCCTTCAAGGCATTTAGGCTTGGGGGTCACATTCATAATGCTGGGTGCTGTCGGGACATGTCAAACTTCTCATCTATGGTAAAGGCAGACTCATAATGCTTCCTCGCAGCACGATTCTGCTCTCAGCATATTTTACCATCTGGAATGCTTCATGTCATGGTCACGTTGACTGCTGATCTATTTAACTAATGATTCTTATTAAACTCCACGACCGCAAAACATGAGTGAGTTAGCGACCCACGAGAAGACGTGTTTTTCCCCATAGACGCTACACTTGTTTCCCTCCCAGAGTCCCGCCTTTGTGAAGACAGTTATCAATGCGTTGTTATTCCACTTTGGGAGCTCAATCTTGAATTTGTCTGTGTGTATCAACTCAAGTAATTCGCCAGACCTTTGTCAACTGGGGGTCATTTTGAATGAGTAACAGTTAGTTTGTTTGTGATTATTGTCATTGCGTGAGTAGCGATCACTGGCAACTCAAGGGTATTTATACTCGTGCATCGCCAGGGAGACCGTTCTTGTACTGTACCCTTCTTGCACCCCCAGAGCAAATGCTCTCTTCTCTCCGTATCACCGACCGACCGAGACCTTTCCCTGACGCTGCTCCAATGTTCTCCAGGTATGTTTATGTGTAGCCATTCAGTTAATTCAGTCAATTGTAGTGAATACCAGTGTTCATCAGTGTTCATGATTTAGCAGTTAATTGTCATTCACCCAGTGTAAGAAGTAATATAACGTAAATACGTCTGTCGTCTAGACA